AAAAGCGCGTTTTTCCCTGCCATGAAGACCATTAAAGCAGGGACTTCGGTCCAAAAACCTGGAGGTGGGAGCCGGCCCCCTGCCCCTTTTCAGTAACTGAGAGTACAGCACTGGAGAACCAATGCTGTCATCCCTGCAGGGCTTGGACAGGTCCCTCCTGTTGCTAATAAAGGTGCTGCCAGGGTGGAGCAGGAGGAAGAAACATCCAGAAACAGCCACATGTTTTTGGGATGGGATGTCAAGCAGAACCATGGGTTCGCATGAAGCTGTTGGACCCACTCAGGTGGCCAAAGCCACGGAGGCAGAGCTGCTTGCGGTGCCTGGCATCACCTGCAGAGCCTGCAGGGAAACGCCCTAGGATATACTTTATTCAAATCAGCCTCCGCTCTGCTGTCTCAAAATCCCCTAAATGATTACAACCATTTTTAATCCTGATTGGGAATGTGCAAGAGAGCACAAAAGAGAGTTTAAGTGCTGTCACACCCAGAGGAACCAGTGATACCTGGGGTTTGCTGGGCTCCAAGCACAAGGACAGCTGCTGTGATACTGGCCAGAGGAAGTCAAATCACGGCCACGGTCACCCTGTCTCCCCTCTGACATTGCTCACATGGCAAAGGGGCAAAAATGCCCCGAGGTAAACTGAGGGAGAATGTGCAAAGTGTCCACAATGCCATGCTGGGAACAGGTATAATAATTTAAGCAAAATCTTCCTACAGGTTTTCCCCCCAAAATCAAACACTGGTTTCTGTGTCTCTCTTTCTGCTGGGCTTCCACTTAGTGTATTTTAACAACAGGCAGTGCTTTAAATCGTGAAAATATGTTGGTGTGAGGTCTCATCACAGACCTGCAGCAGTGGGACTGCAGACCCCTTTGTTTCGGGAACCGCATCAGGCACCTTCTCAGGCAACGGAGACGGGCAGTTTCAGGATGTGATTTGGCTCATCTATTTTAAACACCCTCCGCAGGAGCTGATTAAGGCAGGGCTCTGGCACATTGTCCTGGCACTGAAGACAGTTTTTAAAGTGGATAAAAAAATCCAGTGTTTCCCATGAGACACAATACAGATAACCAGCAAAACCACAGCCCCTTCTTCTGCTGACTCTGCTCCATCAAACTTTGCTGATCCCACCTCTGAGTAGCTCCACGCATCTGACCACAGCTCTGCTAAATAGAGCAACCAGAGTTTGAATTTAAATGGGAAAAATGCCTTGCTCCTTCATTTTTCCACTTATTTCTGAAAGCTGCCTGGAGACTGCAGAGCCACCGCTGCTGCCCAGCCACAAGAGACCTGGCACCACAGCATCCGTGGCACTGCTTGTTAGACCTGTGTCCCAGGGTCACAACTGCAGCCACTGGGGCCCATCCAAGAGATGGGCAAAAATCACAAGAGGGGGGATATGGACATGAGGTAACAACATACACAGTGAGACACCTAATGCACAATGGCCACTTCTTCCCACGTTCTGCAGCCTGCAGCGGCCCCCAGGGCACAGTTATGGGCAGGACAGAGCACAGCAAGCAAACCATAGGACCAATGGTGCCGTTTTCACGCTACCAGAAGCTACTTCATACCAGAAGGCAGGAGGAGCGCCTGTTAAGAACCTGCACATCAAATCCCAACCCATTTTGCAAGGCTGCAATGGGGCAGCAGGCTCTGCTCCACTCCTCTCTCTGCCATCCCCTCTCCCACTCCAAGAGAAGAGCCATCCTCTGCCTCCAAAGCACTCATCCTGACACTCTCCACATTTCTACATAGCTGTATTTTGACTGTGCTCAACCCACTGATTAACTGTAATTAGGCTTGAACTGATGATGAAGGATCTTGTCATCATTATGCTGTTGGGATTTTGTCAGAATGTGCCTGGAATTTATGCAAGAAAACAGCAATCAGCTTCAGCAAAGCAGATGGAATTTTTTTTATTTTTATCATTTATCATGTTGGAAACCTCTGCTGCCATCACAGATCTGGTTTCCAAACCTTTCCAGTGTGACCCAGAGTGTTTCCGTCACTCTCCATCATTCAGAGACTGGCAGATGCTGTGGCTCTGAGTCTCTGACTAAAGAGAGGGGAGGAAAGTTCACACAAGTCCCTTCTTCCACAGAACCAGAGGCTTGAGGTTATTTCCACTGAGAGTTTTTAAAAACCACCAGGTCAGTGCTCCCACCCCTTTCACTTGTGGCTCCAGGTCAGACACAGGCTCTAGGCAGTCTGTACCCAATTCCTGCCACCACCACCTGACCACTCTCAGGCAAAGGAGGATTTGCCAGACCTTATTTATCTAAATTATCCCGACACATGCAGGACAGAAAGACCCGCAAGGTCCACACAACACTTCCCTGGGCAGGTTTCACAGTGCCCTGCAAAGAGCAGGAGGCAGGCAACCTGTGCAAGGTGACAACGCTCCGTCCAAAGCCCTTTGTAACTGACTCTCCATTAAGTCGTCCCCGTGAGACCCCGGGATGGGCGGCCACCCCCCCTGGCCGGGCTGCAGGCGGACGCGGGGCTGCTCAGAGAACAAACCGCACTGCGCGTCTCCCTCGATGCTTCTGCAGCAACGGAGCTTTTCCATCCCTTCAAAAACATTTGCCTCTTCTCACCCAGGCATTTCAGTGGATGAAGATGCACTCTTCCAGGAAGACATATCTTTCTGTTCTGCGCCAGTGCCAGAGCTGGTGTGGAGCTTCCTGACAAGCTGAACAAAACGGTGGACCTAGCTCCTGTACCAAATTGCAATAAAGAACTGAATCTGGTTTCAACATAGTTTTTTAAATGCCAAAGAACTAGAGCAAGGAGATATTTAAACGCCAAAGTGGAACAATTTTCAGAAATGCAGAACAAAAAAGGCCTTATGGGGAAACATAAAATCTGAAGCGAACACAACAGAGGTGCCTGGCACACAGGCCACAGCATCCCACCTGAGTACCGGCTGGATGGGAGGTGAAGATCGGATGGGAAGGACAGGGAGAAGAGGAGAGTGTGCTGCCATGGGCTCTCTGGAAGGAGAACAAGAAACATATGAGACCTCTGAAATACTCATCTTCCCAGATGTCAGCTTTGGGAGCCAGGGCAGCAGCTGCAGGTCTGCAGTGATGGGTGAGGGTCAGGACATGTCTGGGCAGTGCTCCATTACCCGGGTGTGGAGAGTGCCTGGGTGTAAATGTCTCTGTTAGTGTCTCTCCTTGGGTCAGGCTGGCACTGACAAAGAAACACAACTTTCAGCCTAGACCTGATGAACACAGCACCCTTGTGGTCAAATCCACCCCCCCGGACTAAGGGTGAAACTTTCCCATCATCAGAAAAGCCACACGACACAGAAGCAGCGCACCAGGTATGTCTGTAGAGCTTGTAGTTGCTTTCCAGCTTTGTAATACTTTGAGTATCACCTCGGGTAAGAGCTCTTGAATCTGGCAGCAAATATTTTTGAGAGCTGGCTGAAGTGAAGCCCCTGCAGTGCAAGGCAAGCAGGCAGCCCAGAGGAGAGAGGCTGTCCAACCCCTGCATTGAGGGGACAGCAGGGCACCAGCACAGCCCTTTAAAAGACACCAGAGGTTGTACAAAGGAGCAAGTCCCCCTGCACACCCCAAAACCGAACACTAGAAAGTCCAGCTCGACACACAGAGCCACAGAGATCTCTACAAGGCCCAGCATGCGGAACACTGCTTGATTTCCATTACCTGCCACTGTGCAGTGGGCAAGCAGTCCCTGGGGACAGGCCTGTCTCTCCAAGTCCCTCACCCCAGCAGGTACACGGCACTGGGTCAGGATCAGAGCACTCTGGCAGACCCGGTGCTGCCCCATGTTGTTTGCACAGGGCAGGATGCCTCTTACCAGACAATAAGTTGAGCACCAGGCTCCACTCCGGGAGGTCCTACCTCCTCCTCATCTACGAGCTGGGGATGAACCTGAAGAAATCAGGTACAGCTCCCTGCTGCCACCTCCCACTTCCCATCCTGTTCCCACCTGCTCACAATGAAGCTGTCCCATGCACTGACCCTGCACACGCGTGCATGGCCATGTCCTAACAGGGACAGAAACAAAACGACACCTGCAAGGGCCTCAGGGCTGACTTTCCCTTCTGCTCTTGCAGAAACAAGGGCATCCTCACAGGGCTGGAGGGACGGCGTCTTCTACGCTCGCTCGAAGTCACTGAACGCAGGCATTTGGAGACCAGCTCTGTCCACAGGGACCCTTCTGCTCTTCATGGCAGAAAGAGATCAAAGACCCCATGGTCATGCCCTGCTAATAGATGTCACCAGCTCAACGCTGCAACAGCCACGTTGTCATAGCTACCGCACCGTCATTACGGGTAACGAGCTGGAAAGCACGGCTGCAGCCAGGGCCGCGCACGGCTCCCAGAGACAGCCTGCCTGCACACGGGGCCTGTCAGTCAGTCCTGTTTATCTGCTCTGGACAGACGGACAAAGCCCGACGTGAAAGTGATGGTAAACAGGAAATCTTCACCATTCAGTTAAGGCCACAGTCAAAACTCTTTGTTTTACTGCAGTATTGTACGGGGGCATGACTCCAAGGTCACCCCAAAATGAAGCAAGAGGAAAGGAGCACTGGCAGAGGAAAGGGAACGGCTCACTGCTAACTCCCTGGGATCACAGCCCCGAGACTATTTTCAGGAGACCCCTCCTGCTGCCCACATCCAACAGTCCCAACTAGCAGGACAGGCAGCAACAGGCAGCCAGGTTTGAAAGAAAGCAGCACCAGCGGCTGCACACTTCAGCCCACACCTCTGCCCCATCACTGAAGTGGAAGCATCAACTAAACCCACCACCACGGCACTCAGCGGGAGACAACCAGCCCCACTCCCCCAGCCCTGCGTGGATGATGTGGGGACTGGCAGCCAGAGCCTGCTGGGTACCCCCTGTCAGTGGCTCAGTGGCTGCTGGCATCTCAGCACAGAACGGGCGCTCCGCGCTGCTGCCCTGGCTCCCTGCAAAGCCCTGGGACCAGCATGGGCAGCTGAGGCTGCTCCCAGTTACCTCTCCCTGGCGGGGACCTGCTCAGACACCACCCTGCCCACCATCAGAGAGGTGCAGGAGATCCTTCCTGGGGTACCAGGGAAGCGGCACCGGCCAGAGCTGAGCCTGCTGCCCCAGACCAGGGGGAAGCTGCAGCCACCTTCTCACCCAGCAGCACCCCTCCGTTTGAACAGGCAGGCCCCAGACGTGCAATTTATCAACATCCAGTTCCTCCCAGTGCCAAAACACGCTCGTTCACAGCAGCCAGTAGGGCAGAGAGACCCCAGCAAGGCCACGCTGACATCCAAAAGACTGGGATGAGAAACCCAGCCGAGCCCAACAGTCTCCTCTAGATAGCACCAGTCAAAAGGAGACCAGGGCTAAGTGCAATTACTTCTCCTGTTCTTTGGGGGTTTCTTTTTTTAAAAGTAGCTGGCCTAAATTCACAGTTACACTCATAAGGCCCATTTCTGGTGGAAGGCAGCTCTTATGTAAGTGAAAAGCGGTTCCCTGTGTCAGCAGTGGCAAAGCCTGCGACTTTGCACAGTCTGTGCATCATCCTCACACCACCACACGCTCCTCGTGCAGACACACAACCTGCTCTATAGAGCTGTATATTTCTGGAATACATTTTTCAAACTAATGCAATTTAATTTTAAATGGATGCTTGCTTTTACGGAACTACAGTAAATCCGGTAACAACTGTTCCCAAAATGTCTGGCTTCTCTCACCACCAGTGCCCAGAGCTGGTGTCCAATGGGTTTTAACATCTGTGTGTTACAAGAGGTAGGTTTATCTCACCCTGACTATTTATCACACCCGCCTCCAAATGTCCTCCATCTACAGTCAAGCAGTTTTACATTCTCCTTCGTCTCCTCTCCTCTGTGCCACCACGGTACTTACTCTGAATGACGCCTGTCAATGCCACTGAACAACTCCCACAGCTCCTCCGAGCTGAGGATCCCATCAGCGAAATAGTTCTTGAACTCCTCAAATGACAGCTTCCCATCATCTGCATTTAAATAAAAGGGAAGAATAATTATAGAGCTGCAGAAAGAAGCACACAGGCCCCGCGATCCTCCCAGCAGCGTGGGACGGTTGGGCGTGTTGTGCATAATAACAAGAGCAGATATCTCATTGGAAGCATGTCCCACCAGACCCCATCAAAAACCCAGGAGCACTGGCAAGCAGGGCCACTGCTGCTGGAATTTCAGGTGGGAATTTCATCCCCTTCCAACCAAAAGACCCCGCTGCAACATTTTCAGAAACGCCATGCAGACACTCTGTACTTCGATGACTGTCCAAGCTGATTGTGCAAGTACAGAGTCAGTTACAAACAGCACAGTGAGAAGGTTTTTATGGAAAGAAAATCTCTGCATTGACTCAAGAGCTTTTTCCTTCCTCTCTGTGGAAGACTTCAGCTCCTGGGCTGCATTTTGATCTGCAACAAAAGCAGCTCCTGGAGCCTGCAAGCTACTGTGAAGGAGAATAGACCAAGAGGGGGTGGGAAAGCTCACAGAAACGACTTTTGATTTTGGACTTCTTGGTTTATAGGTGCCAGATTAAAAACCAGGTAGCAGAGCCTTACTCTCAAATGCCAGGGGCTCCAGCGGGCATCGAGGAACAGAGGCACCTGTAAAGCCCCAGACTGAGCGCAGAGCCTGAATCAATCCTGCAAGGGATGGAGCAGAAGCCTGACGGCCCCTGGGCTGCGTGCTGCACAGCTTGTTTTGCCTCCCCTTCTCGCTGCTAGCAGCTCAGAGGAGAGATTGTGTGCAGGCAGGCAAGAGAAGGGCTTGGAAGGGACTCTGTCCTGCGTGGCACGTGGATGGTGACTTGGGGGAGCCCACTGCCCCAGCCCCTGGTCAGGCCCTTTGCTCCAGGGCCCGTTCCTCCAGGCAAAGCAGAAAAGCATTTTCCTCGCAGCCAGGGAGCTGCTTGCCCTCGTCCGCCTTCACTCTTTCAGCCAAACCTCCCAGCGGGGACAGGCAGCGGCAGGAACAAAGCACTCACCGTTCTTGTCGGCTCGCCGGAAAATCTGCAAGAGAAAATACGACAGGGTTTAGCGAGGCAGGAGGGAGAGCAGCACGGCTGAACGGCGAGCCAGGCAGCCCCCGGCGCTGCCACTGGGGGAAGAAAGCCTCCTGGGGCCCGGGGAGCAGCCCCCCACTGCCAGGGCTGCGCAGGCCAGCGCTGCACAGGCTGCTCTGGGGAAATTCCCCTTTGCAAACCATTCAAACCCTTCCTCCTCTCCAACGTGCAAAGCTCTCGGCACAGCCACCGACCCCCAGCGAGCCCCGCACTCACACTGAGCATCTTTTAGAGAACACAGAGGGAGATGAAGCAGAAAGGGCTTCGCTACACTTGTGATGAAAAGTGTTTAATTTTTCAGACCCTTTAAATGAAAAAACATTAAGCATAAAACCACTCCATAACGGGAGCACTTTGTGCATCAGCGCTGACACTTCAACTGTCTGCACCGAGGAGCAGCTCTTGTCCTGCACTTTGTAATCACCCTTCACAACAATCCTTCCTCCACCACCTCGACACACACACACTGTAATTATTAATTAATGAATTAATTAATCTGTAACTCATTCTGCCACACAGCACAGCTGGAGAGCTGCTCTAATTCAGGGTCTCAACCCAGGTTCCCAACCACAAGGTGCGTGCCCGCAGCTCAGGAGAAAGCTGGGACTGGCTCCTCTTTCACCAATAATTTTTGGAAGGTCTGGGGCTGACTCCGGTGAGGAACAGCATCATTTCCGAAGCCTGGGAACATCTCGCCAGACTGAACAGTACAGAGGTTTCGGCCAGCACGTTCTAATGGAGCCAGCGACAGAAGGTTGTGTGTGCAGCAACTTTCTTCTTTTTAATCATCCTTTTTAACCATCCTGATTGACAGAAAAATCTGAAGGTCTGAAGAAAGATCAGGAATGAAAAAGGGCAGGAAAAGGGGAAAGCAGACTTTGTTATATTCTTTTCCACACACCTGCAAAGCAGAGACCGCTGATAAAAACGCCCCCGGACGAGCTCTGCTCCTTGCCGCAGGAAGACGCATCGCTGCCAGCTGCCCCCTCCGCCCCCAGCTGCCTTCTGCGCCGCTCACTGACAGCTTTGCTGCGCGTTTTGAGGGCACAAGCTCGTATCTACCCACTGAAATGTCCCTGAAAAATCACTCTGAGGTAAAGAAACAGCTGCCCAGAGAAACTTCCGCTGCTTACTCCCGAGGAAGCCACTGGCTTGCAACTGCGCAGAGGCTTTTCTGACGCTGGTCCCAGCAGGGAGCTCCCTGGTTCTTCCC